GCCTGGCCAGCAGGGGGCGCCGCAGCTCCGCGCCGCAGCCCCGGTCCCCGCTCCCGGTCCCGCCGGCGGAGCCGTGTAGGGACCCGCGGGGATGGGATGGGATGGGGAGGGATGGGGGGGCTGCCCGGGCTCCTCTCGGGGACCGGAGTGAGGTGCCAGCATCTCTGCGGACACGCTGGCATCTGGTTTACTCGCTGGCTCAGCGACCGGGTGCTGCCTGACTACAGACGGACGTTTCCTGTCCCCCTGAAAAACCCGAAAAGGCAGCAGAAAAAAAGAGGGGTGTTGAGTTTGTAGGTGGGGTGGGTGGACAGCTTGGGAGAGGAGCAAGGGGGAGGCTTGTCCTGGTTTCTACTGGCGCTGTGGTCTCCTTAGAAATGCTGCCTTAGTGAAGGGCCAGCACGCTGCCTTGCAGCCGTCTGTCCCCAACCTGCCCCACAGAGCACTGGTTTCTGCTGGTCTGAGCCATGCCAAGCTCACCACACCAAGGACCTGGCCGTTAGGTGACACACAGATGTAAATATTTCCCCTGTCTGAACTGCGTGTTGATTTATACCTGTTACCTTCGTTTATTTCTCCGCCCAACTGTGATGTTAAAAAACCATTTTTTTTCTCTTGGTGAAAGGGAGAACAAGATTGTGAATGGTGAGAGATGTGGGGTGGGAAGTGCACAGGTATTGACGTGGAGCTTCTGGGGCAAGAAGAGAGGGGTGTGTTCATATTTTTAACTTGAATAGTCGCTTGGTGGTTTCACCGTGAAGCCAAGGGTATCGTGTCCTCCCCCAAGATGGAGTTACAACCCTGTCCTTATGTTAATCTCTTCTCAGCCTCTGCAGTCATCCCTATTTTGCCTCTTGATCAGATATTTTAAAATTAATTTTTGTTTTACATCCTACCTCAGAAGGAGCCCCCTGTCCTTCCGTAGCAGTCTTTTCACTGGGGGGCATCTGCCAACACCAGCCCATGGCGATGGGGCACCTCTGCAGTGCCCTGTGGGGAGGCAGAGCAGGCACGCTGAGGCCCGGGGGCTCTCTGTGCCTTGAGGGGGCTGTGTAGGATGAAGCACCATTACGGGATATCTCCTGCAAGTGACAGCAGCTTAATTACACGCTGGATGAGGCTGGAATGGTTTATGCCTCTGACAACGGTTTAGGACACCATATTATCAGCCTTCTCCAGATCTTACATGCTGCTTTATAAAGGGCAAAGAACCTGTGATCAATGCTGCTGTTCTCTCAGCGCAGACAGTCCCTGTGCCAGTCCTGCTTGGCTTATAGGGCACCTGTGGAGAGGACACATGCTGGCATCTCCTTATCTCCTTCCTCCCCTGCCCTCTGCAAGAGATGTCCACCAGAGATTTGCCCTTGTGCCTCCTAGAGGGAGGGGGAGGCCATGTGGGATCTTCTCCTGACTCCTCCTGGGTGTGGAGCTGGGCTTGTGCTTCAGAAACTGTGGTACTGACTCAGGGATTGTGTTTGCACTTTAGAATTGAGCACAAATTCCAGCACAGCCATCACGTGTCTGCTCTTTTCCTGGGCAGAAATACCTGCTTCTCTCTTGTAAATGCTCTGTAAATCCCGTAGGAAGCCCTGCTTATGCATTGGCTTCAGGATGATTCCTTGTGGCAGAAAATTTGCCTTGGAGTTGAGGCTGCAGGGCTGGGTACCCCTCTTTCATGTTCTTCAATATTCAGATACCAGTTATAGTGAATAACTTTGAAATTTTTACCAAGACAAAACTCCCCTTTGCCTTGAAGAGGACATCCAGCCCTGGGCATGAATTCACAATCGCTTGCAGTAAAAAGAGCTTGTTCTTGTTAGCGTCAGGTTGGTCTGGTCGGTTGGTTTTCAGATTGAGCCAAATGGTTATTAAAATGGATGGTGCTCCTGTTCTGGCAAGCTGTCACTTCACAGCGTGCCCGGTTCTCTCACGAGCGTGCTTTCCCAGCCCGCCTCCCTGGCTCCAGGGGCAGAAGATAAGCCAGCAGAAAATGTTCTTTCTTAGCCAAGTGCTTGTCTGAAGTGTCCCAGCTACTCTGGAATGATTAGCATCTTTTCTCTTTGTGCCTTTTCTGCGTTCGCGTGTTCCCATCCCCTCTGAAAGGGAATGATAAAATATTTTCGGAGTAAAGAAAGCCCCATATGGCATCAGATTGCTGCACCGTGAGTGCCACCCTTTGCACTCTGTGTGCATGTGATAAGTGGGGGTGTCACTTATGGTTCAAATAACAAGGCAGGACGTCAGACATGCTTAACACCTCGGAGATGGAAAAAGGCCAACCATGCACACACCTCCACCAACCCCAAATCCTCTGGTTTGGTTCATAAAGCCGAATGTCACAGTGTGAGCACCACCAGTATGGGACTCTGCAGGTACTGGTGTAGTGTCTGGGCGTACCCCAGTCTGCTTTACTGAGGGCTTGCTTGGGAGTAGGGAGAACTGTATGTAGGAGTATGATCAAGTGGCTTGTGTGAGTCAGGGGCTGTGGCATTAGTCCCCGTGCGTCCAGTAGCCCGGCAAATGCTGGAGTGGTGCTGGGAAGGACGGGTGGTCACTCCACCAGTTACTGGTTAGGGTCGGGCAGCGAATCCTGCCCGGATGGGGTGTCGGCCTCCTGCTCTGTCTCAAAGGCTTCGTGGTTGGATTAAGGACGTTATTTGGATGAGGGGGGGGACGACAGTAGCAACAGGGAGGAGCACGAGATGGGGCTGACTCAGCAGCAGTGGAACAAGAGACAAAACACACGTACCTGCAAACATGGCCCGCTCACACTGCAGGTGTGGGTGCAGGGAGCATCTTCACCCCGTGCACCCTCCTGCAGGGCAGGAAAGGAGGATTTAGGCTGGCCTTGCACACAGTGCAGGTGTCCTTTTTTCCCCAGTTGGTCATTTCCCTCTATTGCAGGTAGGGGACCAGGCTGAATGGGTTGGCAGCCTCCTTTGATTACGATGCTTTGGGGAAGGTTGGGTGCTGCCTGCAGCTCGCAGGGAAGCGAGGGTCAAAACCAGCACAGGAGGCACCAGCTTGCTGGCTCCTCCACCCTCCCTCACTGCCAACAGGGTCATGGTTTGGAGGAGATGGAGGGGCTGTATGTTCCTGCTTCCACCATGGGGGAACGCTTGCCTTAGGGGCAGCAGGCTGGCACCGTTGGATCATTTGGGGTGGGAAATCAGGCTTTCAGTTAAAAGTTCAACTGGTTTATTCAGTAGTGACATGGTGGCAAAGCGGGGAACGCTGCCGTGGGGTAGGAAAAAGCCAGTTATTGAGTGAAGGTCCTTTCTGTACCCATTTGCCCTGTGGCCCTCCGTGCTCCCTGCAGAGCACGATTGTACCCACTCAGCTGGGTCACAGGACCCGGGTACCCAGGGCAAGGCCTTTGGGGAATATCTTCTTGCAAGAAGGCTGAGCTGGCCAAACCAAAAGGCTACTGGGGGCAGTGCATCTTCTAAACTAATCACTTGAACGTTTCTGTCAAAGGTAAACAAAACCAGCAACACCAACAAAATACCCTTTTTTTCCCTTGGGTAAAAGATAACGCATGGCACTCTTTTCAGAAACATTCCGTGGATGTTTGTTTCATAGATTGAGACGTGGAATACGCTCTTGGCCATGAAAGAGATTATGTTCTCAATGTTTATGAACTTATTTTAGTCCGTGAGTGTGGTCTAGGCAAGAAAACATCCCTGCAATATTGGAGTATGGGCCTAATGAAGTTGTATATTGATCTTTTCCTATGGCATCCATCTGAAGGGTGGTCAGTTTACAAGTCAAAAAAAAAAAAAAAAAGAGATTTCTCTAAGCCCTAGTGCTACTAGTTCACCCTGGAAATGATACGAGCATTTGGTTTGTCTCTATTTTGCGCCCCCTCCCCTCCTCCTGCTGCCTCGGCTCTGGAGGTTTCCTGTTTGCATGCCCAATGTCACACTTCTGCAGGGGTGGTTTGAATGAGAACCTGTCGCTTTTTAAAGTCGCTGTTCTGGTCTCAGCCACAGTGTGAGGGTTTGGTGTAAAGTGTATCACACCTTCCCCTGAAATCAGGCGAAATGGAGAAATGAATTCAGCTAGATGTGGGGTTAGGCGCTATGTCTGCGCTTTGGGACTCTGCCCAGGCTTATCCAGAAAGTCTTACCTAGATTTCTCTCTTTTTATTTCTCCCAATTTTTGCCTAGTACAGGTTTTGGTTGGCTGTCCAAGATCTCAAGAAACAACCTCTGCAGGATGTACCCACCAGAGTGGAGGAAATCTGGCAAGAGTTTCTAGCTCCTGGCGCCCAAAGTGCCATCAACCTGGATTCCCACAGCTATGAGAAAACAAGCCAAAATGTCAAAGACCCAGGGAGATACACGTATGAAGATGCACAGGTTTGTTTTTGATTTTATGGAACCTACTGCTAGTAAAACTCTCGGTTTTACTGTGATATTCCACTATCATGTTGTCACTGCTCACTTGTAAGAAAAAGGAGAGGCACAGTTGGAAGTGACTTTGAGGATACCTCTTCAAGCTGGGTAAATGATATTTTCTTTGAATCTATCGGTTATAACAGGCTAATTCCCCTCTGGGAACAAATGTTCCAAAATTTACCAGTCTGCAAGGCGCAGTGAGCTGGAGCCATGTTTCAGAGAAAGCAAAGATGAAAGAGTGCTCTAAAGTTCAGTTTGGCTCTCTGTTCTCCCCACCACCCAACTCTGTCATATTTACAGAATGGCTGATATCATATCAAAATCCTGATTAATACACTTTTTTATCATTTCTTATTTATAGCTAATTATATCACCCCCTGCCAAACCCCAAACGCAGCAGCTCCCTCCAACACAGCTAGAAGCCTGTCCACCAGACAATACCTAGGAATAATGATAGGGCAGCAGGCAGTGCAGGGAGCTTAATCCTTCCCTCCTAAGGGCCCCAGATTTATCAGGGAAATTTTACAGATAAACTGTACACAGAAAATGCCTTTAGGAAAACAGATAATTTGAGGAAAAAACTGCTACAAGCAAGGATAAAGCTGCATAACCTTCTGAAAAACTGAAAATGTCATTTTATAAAGGCTAAAAAAAGAAAAAGGGAAGGAGGGATCATTCAGCAAATATTGCCAGGAACACAATTAAAAGATATCCTCCTTGTAATCATTTTTATCAAAAGCGTGTAGTAAAACCAACAGCAAATGAAAAGAATCCTTGTTCTTGTATCTTTTTTAAATTGGCATTCAAAGACAGTTCTTCAAAATACTCCACTAACAAAATATTTCTGTCTCAGGGGAGATGTTGTGGACCACTTATACAACGTTAGGCAATGAATTTTTCAAACCAGCATCAAATACTGTATTTTCCTGAATGCAGTCTTGCTCCTTGGGGCCAGCATAGAAGGAATGTATGCAAAGTTTCAAGGCAGTCCCCTGTGAATATCGAGCAACTTAAACGTTCTTTTTAAAGCTGAGAAAGGCAGGAGTATGAAGACATTCTAGCAAAGATGTGTTTTTTGCTTTGCAGTGATAGTGAACAAGAGCTTCTGCAAATTTGCATTACCTGAAAAAAAAATTATGATGGCAAAATGCAGGCTAAAGCAGATAGGTGAAAAATGGGGGAATTGATTAAATTGATAAGTAGAAGTACTGAGAAGAAGATGGATGTTTAGACAATGAGTATTTAATCAGAAGAAGACGTGGAGGATTTAGGCTTGAACTGATCAGTTCGCAATGTAATTGCCATTCAAAGGGGAGTTGATGAAATCAAGCTGGAGCTCTTGCAGTTAGACTGCAATTTTAGCTCCTTGGGTTAATTTTATTTCAGAGGATTTTTATGCTGACGGATGTCCTCAACTCATCTGTTTTGGCTCACAGAAACAGACCTATGGGGCGAAGGTAGACCTTCAAGCCCAGCTATGGTCCTCTTGGAAACTGAGTCTGTGCCAAGAGAGGGCAGAGCAATATGGAAGGTAAACCCAGTTACCTTCTTGTGCAATGGTAGCTCTCCAAAAGCCAAGCAAGCCGTTTCTGACTGCTTGACCAGGTAGCTAAGGTGGCTGTCTAACAACAGCAGGGGGAAACAGGACATTCCTGAGGAGCGTAGTGCCCTGGTGGAGCTGGAGCAATGTAGGCTGTTACTGGCTCATCCTGGAGAAGGGGACATTTTTGTTTGCATGTCCACTTCACAGGAGCCAATATATGTCCCCCCTCATGTGCTCTGTCCTGGTGTCTCCCCCAGGTCAGCCCTGCCACCTCAGGGGCTCTGGTGACCACAAATCTGTGGCAGGTTGTAGCCTGGCTGCCTTATCTCAGCACATGGGCACCAGGAGCCCATGAGAGCTCCCACACATCCTGCATTCCTGGGGACCCAACCAGACACAACCAGTCAAAATACCCCACTGTGGGAGGGAAAATAGGAGTATTGTCCCATCCTGTGTAACTTTAGCACAGAGGAAAATAACTGAAATGTCCTTGTGAATAAAGAACAAGAAGAAAATTAGTTTACTGAACAGCACGTTCTGTGAATGCCTGCAGCTTTGAGACGCTAAAACTAAGAGGAAAGAAAAAGGTTGGCTGGACTGAGAAAATGAAATTGCTGCTCCTGCTTTGGACAGATGGGAGAAGGTGATATGGCATTCCAGCCCTTCTGCTGACCTGGGGGACCCGCAAAATGCTGGTTCTGTATAAAAAGCATTGGGAATGAACACATTGAAGGTGTAGCAGCACACAGTAAACTTCAGGCTAGTGAACGAAAGCAATGCATCATCTGTTATCAGGTGCTCAGCAGTCTACATGGATGTGCTGCTTTGCACAGCCTTGGCTCCCATCCCCAAACAGCTCTCCCAGATGCTGCACAGCCATCTGGTAAAACAGCTAGCCTAGAAGAAAACAGAGAGAAGAGGGGGCTCCTGACAAACATACCTCTTACTTAAGACCTCTTCATCCCATGGCCACTCATGCTCTGAAGGCAAATGACACTGAAAATCTCAGCTCCAGACATACCCAAAGGACTCCTAACCCAAACCTCAATTTGGCATGCACTTATTATTTCAGGCAGAGTTCTGGCTAAGATGGGTTCCTGTATTACAGGAGCAGGTGTTTTGCCATTTCCCCATTTCAGCTTACAATATTTGCTCTGTTTTGTGTCCCTCGCTGCTGATGCTGCAGTCTGTGGCCTGGCACTGCTCTGCTTGCACAGAGTCACCTTTTCTTTCTACATCCCCTGGGTGTCCCCCAGCTCAGCCTTGGCTCCTGCCTCCCCCAGCCACCCACATTTGCTGGTATCCCCCATCCCTGAGCAGCTCAGCTCCGTCCTGACCGTCAGCTCTGCCAGCTATCTTGATCTGCAGCATCTTTTGCCATTTTAGTGCTGGGCCCCTCCAGGGGCGAGCCTACCAATTCAGCTGATTGTTTTCTGCTCTTAAACAACTGTCCGCTGAGTAAAATATTATGATTATCAAACCATTTTCACTGGGGAGTAAAGCAGCTTTTAATACAAGGGGCACTGTCGGGAAAGGTCAGTTCAATTAAACAGTGAACTACTTAGCGGGATGTAGGCTCCCACAGGAGTTATCAGCATCATTGAACAACCGGTATGGGGCCCTGCAGTATGAAGCAGGCACAGCCGGCTCTGGGAAGTAAATAGGTTCGGGTCCATCCAAATGGCCTCTTTTGGCTAATGAAGCTGCTGACAGCCAGAGTAATTCATCTTTAACACAGGAACCCGGAGCTGTGAGTGTGACCGTTATGGCTTATCTGTACAACGCATTATTAGTTCTTAAACATTTTTTCCTCCCCACCTTCAAGCATCTCCTTTGCCTCTCCTGAAATGTCTTTCTGTCTTCAGCAAGTCTTTAATCCCCGTCTCAGTCCCTTGGTGTTGGGGAACCAGTGCGACATGAATGCGTTGTGTCTCCTGGTAGTAATGTTTGCTTGTAGGGGCAGTTACTGGAAGGCTTCAGAGCCAGGTATACTGAAGTAGGTAAGCCACGTAGTTGTCTTTGGAATTACATTCCTGTTTGCTTTGTCTCTTTTTCTTCTCTAATAAATAAAATAGAGTTTTAGACTTACATTCCTTTACCTGAACTAATTGGATAGTGTTTCTGTGAAGATGATTCGGGGAAATTCAGTTCTAATCCCAGCTCAGTTGGGGATTTTAACTGTACTGTGCAGATCCTTGGCTAATTCCAGAGCAGATTTAGACCATAATGCCAAATTCCAGGCTGCTCAAACCAGAAATGTACCTGGCCCAGAACTGGAACCGGTTGATGCTCTCAGCTGCCCCAGGTGTTGTTTCAGTGTGTTCTGTGATAGAGATAACGAGCCCTTGCAGGGTTCATCAGTGGTCAGTCCTCAGTTTGCATTCTGGTCCCATCAGGAAGGCGGGAGCGTTGACAGAACTTGGCAGGATCCTGTTGAATTCAAAAACAAACTCCAAGTGTGAGCAAGGATCTCTTGGAAGTGGGATGTCATTTTCTACCAGGGGGAAAACAAGAGGTGACCTTTCTTCCTCTGACTTTGTTTTTTCAAGCATGCACAGGATGTGAAAGCAACCATATAGAGGAGTGTATGCCTGGTTCCTATTCAGTGGGCACACAGAACTCCTTTTGTAGGTCTTGAGCAAAATCACAGCATGGAAGGAAAAGGTGAAAATAATCAGTCATTGTGCCTCTGTATCACTTTTCATGTAAGAACCTGGAGAAATGTTATTCCTATTTTCTTAAAGTTTCACACAGCCACCCCAGTTACGTGTGTGTCTGTGAAGGATGGTGACTAAGGATGGAGAACTGAGGTAGCAGCAAAGCAGCTCTGGCTGGCAGCGTGGGCAGTCAGCAAAGGGTATGGGGCAGACCCAGGTGTTCTGCCTCGAAGGGGGTTTAAGTCCACCTGAGCCAGTGCTGCTCAGAGACCTGGTGCCTGGGCTGCAGGGAATTGAAAGCACTGCGTCTATATTTATGCACATGGATGGTCCCCAAACCTCCTGGAGGTTTTTGACAGCCTGGACCTTCCTTTGAAGGTTAGGAACTGCACGAGGACTTGGCCTTTATTCTCTTCTCCTCCTGTGGCTCTGATTGAATGAGACTGGAGGAAAAAATCTTTCCTTAAGCTGCATTTCCTGTTGCCTTCCCTCTCTGTAGGTTACAATTACTGTAGAAACAGCCTTCACCTGAAGCCTCACTGTTGCTGTGTATTTGTTATACACAAAAACAAAAATGCAAATTCCTTCCCTTGTAGATTTCACAAAACAGCCAACAACCAAACAGGATCTAAACCAAGAGCCCCACAAATACACCCAGAAGAGCACTCTAGGTGTCTGGAGCAGAAATAGGAAAGTGATGGTGGAGGCTTACGGTGGCGTCCCTGATGCTGCGCAAAGCAGGGAATAAAAGGCTTGAAGCA